GAGCTTCACAGGTTTGGGTCTCCACAGGGAGTCCTACAAATTCTGGGGAAAATCTCTACAGGGGACTGACTGCAAATTGATGTAGGGGTGTTTTTGTTTGTGAACTCTACTGGAGTACTTGCTGTCTACCTCGGTTAGCTATGCTACCCCAGTATGGACTTGGGGAGCAAGAGTCTTGGATCTAAGGCAGAAGGAAAGCCATTGTCTTTTGAGGTTGTTGTTACCTTGAATGGAAATTAAGAAAAGTTAGAACACACTGTGACTGTCCCTGGGGGTGAACAGGACGACACTGCTAGGCAAGTATTCATGGAGTGGCCCCGAGGACCATGAGCTGCTCATCACTCTGTGGGAAGCCTGGAGCAGCACAAGCACTGGGGAAGAATCTTCTAAAAGAACATTTCTGAACAAAAGACGTGAATTTGCCAGGAAACTGCTTTCTCCTGCTGGGGAGTTTGGGAGGAAAAAATGTTTTAAATATATGTTTTACATTGGAAGACAATGACGGTGTTTACTTCTGTAATCTAATAAAAATAGTGATGTAGGTTATATTTTTTCCTGTGAAAGTTAACTTCATAAGGAGGTGACATCTGGGTGGATATTTTTTAAAGACTCACCCAGTTCTCTAGAAGAATCAAGATACAGCTGATTTCTGTAGCCAAGGATACAAGCGTGCCTTCTAGTGGTAACTCCTGTACACTGAATTCTCCCTCCCTCCCTCTCCCTGTCTCTCTCCTTGTCCCTGTCCCTCTCCCTGTCCCTCTCCCTGTCCCTCTCCCTGTCCCTCCCCTTACCCCTCTCCTCAGTGAGGTTTATATTGAAGGCAAGGGCACTCTTACTTCTCCATGTAGCAGATGAACTGGGAAACAGCTTGGGCTTGTCCCATTGGCCCTGTCCCCTACATTCTGCAAGGCGGTGTCATTCATTCACTTGTGTGTACATCTCATCCATTCTGCCAATCACCTGCCGCGCATCCCTATGACTATTGTGCACCAGGCTCAATAAAAGGTAAAGCAAAAAGAACCACAGAGTCACTGGCATGACCACCTTGGAGAAGAAACTTTACTAATGATACAAAAATAAATTTATAAGGGGTGCTTTTATTGGGATTGATCTCAGCTTTTATGTAAAATGGAGTTGTGAGTCAGATTATATTTTATGATTAAAATAATTTTGATCTGACCAAGAACTTAAATAAAATGTTCACATAGTTACTACAGGTCTTTAAAACTAAGCTACATAAAAGATTTACCACAGGTAAAAAAATAAATAAATAAATCAAAAATAAGTGAAGAAAAAAATAAAACTAAGCTACATTGTTATATTAGTTATAAGCATTAAAATAAAAATGCTAGAAGTTCTACACACACCTTTACAGAAACCTATAGCTGAATTAGTCATTTATAAAAAGCACTTTCCATATGCAACTATTCATCAAACATACAATTAGCAAAAAGCATACTATCAATCTGAAGCTTTAGCAGAAGTTTTCAGATCTGTAAATGAAGCAGTAAAGCAAAATGTGCAATGAGTCCTTTTTATTTATTGGCCAACTTTTCTTTTAGCAAGCAAATAAACTCAAAATATTGTATTTGCATTAACTTTTCTAGAGTACTTTGCAAGTCTGTAGCTCTACATTTTGTTGCCAAATAGTAAATCCATACATGGATGAAAGCAATGTCAAAAATGAATCAAAATTTTTACTGTATACCATGTTATCATGAAACACTTTTATTTTTAGAGCTAATGCACTTTTTGTTAAAAGAAGGGGAAAAAACCAAAAGGAATTAATATTGCCTATCTCTCTGACTTCATAAAATGCCCTTAGAGGAGCCTCGAAGGACTTAGGTAACTCGATCCATGTCATGACACCAGCCAGGGGAAGAAGGAAGCACTTGGATTTGAACTTTGTCTGACTGATCTTAAATCTTCATTACATGAAGGTGCACAGAATTTCAAAGTAACAGAGACTTAACATGGAATTAATGGTGTCATTCTAATTTTGTTAAATGTATTTTTAAAATTTTATTCTGTAATAGTTATTGCTGAAAAATTTGCCAACATCTGCCTCCCATACTAAACACACACACACACACACACACACACACACACGCACATGCGCACGCATATGCACACATACCAGAGAATGCAATTAGATTTCATGTGATATTTTAACTTTATGTTATGAATGACTGCCTTTGTTTCTGTATATATTTCAGATTCTTGAATTAGAAAAGAAAGGAGAAAAGGAGGAGAGAACATCTTTTCCTTTTTGGTTAATTTAAAGTAAGATATGTTCCAGTGTGCACAGAACTTGATCCTGCAAGTTGTAATTTCAGTAAAAGTACACTGCTATGTGATCATTTAAGGCATTTGCAGAAATAGATAATACTATGTTGTCAAGCAAATAAACAATGGGTGCCCAAAACTGAACTGAAAATGAAAAAGGGGAAGGGAATTTTAATTTTCAATCACTAAAGTTTTGGAGCTTCAAGAAATTATTAGACAGAGGCCACTTGTACATCTGCTCCCCAGGGACAATCCTAGGAAGCTCGACACAGGAAGAATGAGTGCACTTGACAGGAAGTTGCTGCCATTCAAGGAGGTAGCAGAAGAGAATGTTTAGGCTGCATAGAAATGTGGAATCTGAGGTGCAACTAGGTCAGAGCTCTGTTTTTTAACCTCAGCTGCCCTCCTTAGCTGTAGCCACTAGCTACAAGTTTATCAACAGAACTGCAAAGAACTAATTACTGGGATGCGTATCTTTTCTTCCTAGATGTCAAGTCCACGAAGGAGCTAACCCTCACCTAAATGTAGTTTAGTGGCTTTAGAGTAGATCAGAAGTGGATTGAGGTCTTGCTTTTACAAGCTGTTATAACCTTGGGTAGGATATCTGTGTGGAGGCACCCAGTCTCCCTCCCTGCGCAGTGGTACATACAAAGCGTTTACCTCATTGCGAGGATTAAGAAAGAATGACAGCGAAGCACCCAGCGTGTGGCTGAGCCCATGGGTGGTTCTAGACTGCAGCAGCTCTAATGAGCTTTGATGTGCGCAGTGGAAGTTAGGTTGCTCATCCCTTTTAAACCTGAGCGTGTATTCAGGTCACTCTTGGGAAGTGTTTGCAATGTGGATTTCTGTACTCTGCCCCAAGTTCCCAATTTCAGATTTGGTAGAGATATGCAGCTATCCAGAACTTCGCTTGCTTGCTTGCTTGCTTGCTTTCTTCCTTTCTTCCTTTCTTCCTTTCTTCCTTTCTTCCTTTCTTCCTTTCTTCCTTCCTTCCTTCCTTCCTTCCTTCCTTCCTTCCTTCCTTCCTTCCTTCCTTCCTTCCTCCTTCCTTCCTTCCTTCCTTTCTTTCTCTT